TGGTCTCTGTCTTCCCTGGCTTGGACTCTAAGAACACTTTATTCCGATTGGGTTGGTTCCCACTTTTCCCTGCAATTTGCTCCCAGCCAGCTAAAACTGCAAGACCCCTAAACCTGAGCCAAACGTGTTCCCATGTCCCCTGCTCTGGCCCAGTTCCACCAGCATCTCAGGAGAGTCGCAAACTCTGACAGTCACAGAGAGATCTTCCCGGCCCGGAAGCTTTCAGTTGGAAGCACTGCCCAAGTTCGCCTGCCTAAGTCAAAGCATGCGGGGACATCCGACAGACAGTGCCCCAGTCACAGTGTGGCTTCCCAGACTCTGCCAGGGTCTGTGGAGGATTCACTTTTCTCAATGATAAAACTCACCAAGCATTTTTAAAATTTATGTTTTAGTCTCCACAAGAAAACTTTGCATATAACTTTTCTTAGCCATCAGCCATTATTTTTTTGTTTAGCTCTTAATAAAACTTACCAGTGACCACTTATTAGCTGCAGTCCATAGATCTGCTTTGATGTTTGTTTGGTCTTGGTGGCACTGGGGATTGAACCCAGGGCTTTTGCACTGAGCTACATCTCTAGCCCTTTACTTTTCTTTTTCTTTTTTAATTTTGAGACTTAGCAACTTGCTAAGTTGCTAAGCTGCCCAGCCTTGCCTAGAACTTGTGATCCTCCTGTCTCAGGATCTACCTCATGTTCTACCATATTTGGCCAGAAATTTTTTTTAAGTTTATAAAATTATAATAAAATATTCTAAAAATGAAGTTTCTGAGGCAGTATATCTTTCCTTTCATCGCAGATTTGTTAAAATTTCAATTAATTAAATAATAAGGTTTTCTAGAACTAGCTTCATTGCTATTGGTGATAATCATAATAACAATAATAATGATAATTATAACAACAAAAAGAATACAAAACATTTATTAACAGCATACTATGTGTATCTCACTTAACCCTCAAAACACCCTATTATTATCTGTTTTATAGTTAAGGACAATTATGAACCACTTGACCCCTCTCCTTATCTACTAACTGGTATTCTTTAAAAAAAATAGCTGCAGTGAAGCAATTAGAAATGGGAAACATCTTCCTAAATCACAGAGAGCATTTCCCTAATTAGCTTGGAAAAAAAAATCTTCAGGTAAATCTACCAAGCTTAAGAGGAAAAAAAATAATTTTAAAGGTTAGCACAGAAGGATGGCCTTCTTGGAATTCACTGTCATAAACACAATTCTGGTGATAGAGGAGACTGGTGGGGTCACTGGGACTCCTTGTCAGGCAAGCTGACAGCCAGACCGACCCGGGCTGCCCAAGGCCGGGTACTGCCCACTGGGGGACACAAACTCCTCTGTTCCCCCAGTGTGGAAGCTGGCAAGCCAGTCACAAGCACAAATGGTGGACTACGTCTGCAAGGAAGACGTGGTGCTCTGTGCCATCAAGAAGTGAAAAACTGACAACATATACCCACTTACTCTCAATATACCTGAAGTCATGCTAGGTATTTCCGTGTGAGGGTCTGATTTTATTTTTCAAGTTTCCTTAGAAGCAGCCTGTCCCATACAACTGCATCTCAAAGGTGGGAACGTTCAACAGAGAAGCACCGGCTCAGAGGTTGCAGGGGACTGGAAAGGACATTTAGTGCCACCCGGTGAACTGCACAGAGGAGAGAACAGGCCCTGAGAATGGGAAGGCCCCCCGGGGCCCACACTGAACTCAGAAAGCTGACCGGAAGCTAACTGCAGTTCTCTTTCCCGCCCAGGCTGCTCTGACGGAACTCGAGTGAGCGTGACCAACTCTGGAATTGGAAACAGCTTCTGAACTCAGGTGATGCTTGGTGGGGTTTGGAGGGATTTACTAAAGTCCTCTTGACCACCAGGATTTGGGCTCATTTTGGATGAAACAATAACACTGATCTGAAGATTGTATTATGAAGATTTCAAAGCATTCAGTTAACATTGCATACTTGAGATAGGTGGAGAACTGAAGCAAAGAAAGGTTAAAGTGGGGGAAGGAATAGTATTATAATTATCAGGTTATTAAAAAAGTTGTCTTCTGAAACTGAGGCCAGAGAGGCAAAAAGCAAAAGGATCCTCATTTCCCATTTCTAGTCTAACTTCCTCCTGTGAGCTCAGTCTATAATAAGTACCATATAATACCAGTGTTCTCAGCAGCCCCGTTCGTAATAGCCCAACAGTGGAAAGAACCCAAATGTACATCAACACATGACTGGATAAACAAAATGTGGTATAAACCCAATGGAATATTACTAAGCTTTAAAAAGGATGACATGCTGGGCTGGGGGTTTAGCTCAGTGGTTCCGCCGTTTGGCTCGCAAGCACAAGAACCCGAGTTCGATCCTTGGTACCCACCTCCAAAAAAAAAAGGATGATGTGCTGATACATGCCACAACATGGAGGAAACTTGAAATCGCTATTCTAAGTGAAACGAGCCGGTCATAAAACTACAAATATTATATGATTTCACCTACATGAAGCATCTAGAATAGGAAGCTACACAGAGACAGAAAGTAGAGGAGAGGACACCAGGGCTGAGGGGAAGGGGTAAATGGGAAGTTATTATATAATGGGCAGAGTTTTTGGTTGAAACAATAAAAAGTTGGGAAATGAATAGTGGCGATAATTGTACAACATTAGCTATAATGCCACTGGATTGTACACTCAGAAATTGTTAAAATGGTAAATTTTATGCTATATTTATTTTACCCCCAAAATTATATCCTTTCAATGCTCAGTTGGAATCTTTAACTTTATTTTATCCATTCACTGCCATTAAGAGTTCAAATCTCTTCTCAAGGTCTGCTTACTGCTAAGAGCATTATGGTCAGTCCAAGCATGTTCTTATACATGGACACACAGAGTCACACACAGGCCACTTTGTGTCCTACAGTGACCATCACACATGCACTCACACCAAGACTTCCACCTGGTAAATCCAACATGGAGGCCCATGGCGAGACTAACGCAACCAGTGTTACAGAGATCCAGACAGCCAAACGCCTTGACATACGGAGTCTCAGCTCAACTCAAATTCCTCACTATAGGGGAATACGCATTTAGTACATGCACATTTTATACAGAGAGAAAGCAATTCCATGCACCAGAAAGACCACCAGGCCCTGCTCACCCAACGCCGCTCTAACCAAGCCCATGAACAAAGAGATTCAGCCCCTGCGTGGCTATTTTGGTGGAGTCAGCAATTGCATGTTGCACTGAACAGTGGGTGCCCTTAATGCAAATGCATATAATTAGGGGCTAAATCTTTGTACCTTTCCAGGACAAAGGACATAATAAGCAGGATGTACCCTTTGTGACTTCTGAGGGAAGGAGAGCTTTTCATTTTTCCTTAAAAGAATCCATTTCTCATGAGGCAAAGAATCTTTTGAAATAGAAGTGGAGGAGGGGAAGGAATAGGAGTGTTGTATGTCACAGTAATAACCCATTACTCAGACCAGAGAGGTGCCAATCCTCTGCCACAGGATCACCTCTGCTCTATGAGAATTTAAAGGGTTTCACAGCCTTCTCATCTCCCATGGAATCGATCACTCAATCCTTAAGTGTTAAAGACCTCAAGAGTTTGTGAAGACAAACAACCTCTAGGGATTCTACCCATTGACAACACATGTGGATATTTAGCACAAATAAGCTGCCACTTGTAAGAAGTCCACTCTGCATCATTCCCTTGCGCACCCTAAACACACATGTCAAGATCACATCAAGATATTTAGAGGCAAACGTCCTTAGAATGTTTTGTTCCCAAAGTGCTTAATTAGCAGAAACACTATGCAAGAGAGCTGTCCTTTGAATATGCATGCATTTTAACCTCCATGTTACTTTTTCTGAAGCACAAATTTTCCTCTCACTGGATGGTCAGGAAATGATTGGGCACAGAAAACCAACTGTCATAGATGTTGACCTGCAGAATGAGTTCCATTTTCCAAGCATGTTTCAGCTGCTCTTTAGGGTGACATCCCCTTTCCTGAGGGGGATCGACCACTCTTTGGAGTCTAAATGCCTTTTCTCCATTCATTTTGGATAAACAAGGTTCCTACTGGCCTAGTCAGGCTCGAACTTTTTAAAAACATCTCCCACCAACTTCCTCTGGCCTATCACATTTTCTTCCTGACCCCAGCTCCAGCCAATTACATTTACAAGACTTCAGTTAGTGCATTACAGTTCAGACAACCCATCCACTCCATTTGTTCAGCAGAAAGTGGTCTCTAGATTTGCTCCCCTGGAAGCCCATAGGCCAGCAGTACATATGGAAGAGCTGCATACACAACCTGGGTGATTTATTTATGACAACCATGTGTGTCTAATGCCCAGCTCCAGCAAGCCGTGGCTTCATTCTCATGTCTTGGTCTGGGACGGCCTATATACTACTTTGTCCCATTTCAGCTACCATCCTTCCATGCTGGGAAAACAGAGACAGGAGGGACAAGCTGGGGGGAGGAGGCTGCACATACAGATGCTTCTAACCCTGGTTGCCACATAATAATCTGTGGCTGTGCACAAAGTGGGCCAAATGTCATTTGCTGCAAAGGTTTGCCATGTACAATGGTTTTCAGTGGAGAGTGAAGTAGCTGCTAGAAATGACCATGTGGGGTTCATTAAAACTTGTGCATTTACCCATAAGGAAGACTGGAATGCTTGTGAAGGGAGCCCCAGTTCTCATTTGGGGGATTCTGACCCCCATCATTAGCAAGGATACTCCACAGGAGAATGGCTGATATGCATCAGGAGGTTCCAATGTGGGCTCCCACTTAAGTGCAGGAAACTTCTGCCTTCCAGGCTCCCCCACCCCGTGCCCCCCAGTTGTATTTATACTTTGAAAGAAGTTAGCATGAAGCAGTAGTCACCTGGGCATGCTCAATTTTTGACAAGCCTTAGTCACTCTGTACCCAACAGAACAATTCACATTATATTCCAAATCCTGTGAAGATTCTGCCACACATGCTAACACTAAAATGCCAGTAGCTCCACTTACCTTCTTTATTAAGCCTCATAACCTCCCTGCTTTTTCCACCCTCTTTTCCAGCCTCTTCTAAATCTACATCTGCAGATGAAAAAGAAAAGGAAAAGAGAAAATGAGGGGAAAAAAAGAAAAAAAAAAGAGGGGGTGGGGGAGAAAAAAAAAAGCCAAAGTCAAAGGGGGAGGGAGAGTGTTTATTTGCAAATAGATCGATATAAATACTGTCTATAAAAATCTTGCAAAAATTGACAATGCAATATTTTCTCCCAAGTGTGGGTTCCCCTCTACCTGGCCCAGATAGGTACCAAAAAAAAAAAAAAAAAAAAAAAAAAAAAACTATGCAAGCAGCAACAGAGTAGCCTTTTAAAACAGATACCACGGTGGGGCTGCGAAAGCCCACCCCGCGGGCTGCCACGGGGAGCCGGGCACGGACAGACAGGCAGGCAGACAGACAGACGGCCAGCCCTGGCAGCCGGGCCTCCCTGGGCACTGGTGATCTGTCTCCGTGTGTATTTATTTGGAGAGAGAGGGAAAGCATGGAGGACACGGGGGCCACTCTTCTCTCTCGCACACACACTTTTTCCCAGTGGCTCTAGGTGAATGGAAAGGTTACAGGATAATAAAAGGAGGAGGAGGCGGTGGGGTTCTTACTGTCGGAGCAGTGTAATTTGGCGGCGTCGATCCAGGAGGACCAGGGTTTGCCCAGAAACGCCTCCGGACTGGGCACTTTGCGATCCAGTGTCGCCATTGCTCTTCCTTCTTGTTGCTTTTTCCCTGTTCCTTCGGCAGCAGCAGCCGAGAGACACGGGATTCGAGAACGCTCCGACGTCATCTTCGGAACGTTCCGACATTGAGCGCTCTGAGCGGGGGAGGAGGCGGGCGGGAGGAGGGGCCGAGCTCGGCGCC